CACTTTTCCTCGACCCTCGTCATGGTACGTTCTGAAATATCCCCTTGAAGATGCAAAGCTTTGGAAAAAAGGTCGGCAATCGGTTAGCGCCTAAGTGAGATCTGATTCCAACTTAAAGTTAGATAAACAGATGGATTATATAGCATTTCGTAAAAGTGTAATTAGTTCATCCGAAGTATTACAAATACAAGCTTGGAAACTGCCCATTGTGATTATTGCAATTTGAAGAAGATATAGATACATTCGCTCCTTATGACTTTATACATATGCTTCTGGTTATAGGGACGACTTTTGAGCCAACCTTCGACTAGTACCCCGGTTTTTCGTGGTGGTCTAGCTTCAACTGACTCATGAATTCAACTATTAATATCTTTGAGTTGTGTTTTTGACCAGTTTGATGATAGGAAATCATAGATATTTTTTTTAGTTTTGTTGGGCATCAGTGTGAAGGGAAGCGTCCCCTCTTTTAATACGAAACGAGGGGTATGTGTTCAAGCCTATTAATCAAGTGACTGGAGTTTCAGAATTATTGGCATCATAAATACCTTGACTAGGTAGTCAGTAGTATTCCCACAACCCATATGCTAGTCGACATGCAGAATGATTAATCTACCGTAGCACCGACCACGAGGTTGGTAATGCAGACCTTGAGAAATCATCCAGGCAGTGTTGAAGTGACTTCGTTGGTGTGTGGATGGTCCGATATTTTTGGTTGTACCTGCATCAACCAAAATAATCACCAGCTTGACCCATAAGGTTCTCATTTCTGCTAAAGTCCAGTCACAGCAATGTTACAAGCTGGCGTGCAACCTAGAACAAATGACAGTTTTCCGACAGTATGGCTAAACTGACATTTGATTAAGCTTTACGCAGAAAAGGTATGCTGAAAGTCGAATAATACTTTACAATTTTTCAGTCCTGTTCCGTAAAGTTTATAAGAGACCATTATGAAAATTTTCGGAGCCTTATGAGGGGTGAAATATTACTGTACAAAATAAACTGTATCGAAACTTCTTAGCGGTACAAATCCTCTATAATCAGGTTGTTAGGCTATCAGATACAAACGTCCTATATATATGCCCCTTTACGGTTGTTCTAACCTTCATCAGTAGCCCATAAATTGCAAAGACTTGGGCAGAATTTAATCACAAATCTCGTTCAAACGTTTTCGTGGTTATAATCTGAAAGCTATGGAATTTGATTTCAGAAGCGATAACAACAGAACATTTTGCTGAGTCTTTTAAAGAAAGTCAGACGTTTAACTAGTTCACTGCTGAGAGAGACCAGTCTTGGTGTAGGTTGGTATTGCTAGGATGACAAGCTAGAACTTCAGGGGGATCTGACTCGACTTCATAGTCCGGCGGATGAAAATGAAGTTACCTTCGACAATTTGAAGTGTTAAGTAGTTCATTTGAGATATGTTGAGAAATACACGTACATTTCGTGCGAATCCACTTCAGAGATATCTGAGTTTGAAAAAAATTTAGTTCTGATTCCCTACGATTTAAATTCTTATGCTGTGACAAGATACTAATTAGTAAAACCTTACACTGGTACCTTTGAGGAGCATTCTTGGTTAGTTTGACAGTGATACTTTAAACATAATCTTCAATAATTCCTTTCGACTTCACTTAGGGTAAGGAATTTTTGTGCTTCCTCTACTCCAAAAGATCAAGAATACTCTCAATTTATTTAAAAGCGAGCCACGAGGTTAAATCGAGTGTTCAAATTCAAGTTTTGCGATAAACACCTTCAATCTTTGGATATTTAATTATCATCGTCTAGACAACTCATAGCAACCGTTTAACGGTCTATACCGCCCTCTGTACACTTGGGTACTCTATACAAGATCTACTTAGGTTCAGCTCCAACACAAAACGTAAGTTCCATACCCATAGTTTAGATGTACAACACATTTTTATAGACAAAATGTCCACATTCTACACCCTATTATTATTATTATCTATAAGCAGCTTATTGGTATTTAAGCGTTCGGGCCAAGTTATTTAATTCGCTGTCGTCAGAAGTGGTATCAAGCAACTCCCCAGCAGGACGGTACTTCATCACAGCTTATTAGTAATTCTTTTTTATCAGTGAATTATACCCTTTTTTCTATCTTTAAGGATCATTGGTCAGTTGCTACTAAATATGGAAGGCCTTTAAGCAAAAGCATCAAATATGTCGCTCGTAACCGTTTGAACCTATCATGTGACGGAGATCAGTTCTGGAATATCCGACTCGGCCTGAAAATTTGGCAGTTGACGACGGGTTTACTTTTAACGCTTGAAATTGTCGAGTAGTTGATATGAGACATGTAGCTGATTACGCAAATAACTCAGGTGTCTCCCCTTTAAAGGTATCCTAGGTTGAAAATTGTCTAAGTCCTGAGGCTTACGCTATATGCAAACGAATTCTTTCCCAGCGGACCTTGTACTGGGAATGTTGAACTTCCCACATAATCATCGCTTTTTTAAGTAAACCCCACTTAGAGTATGGAAATATAATGTTGATTCCGTCACTCCAAAAAACTAAGAATACATTCGAACATATCCAAAGGTGAATAATGAAATCATTTAAGATAACTAAACTCGAACATTGTGAAGAGCGCCTAAAATCGCTTAATCTTTACCCATTAGAGTATTGGCACCGCAGGGGTGACCTGCTAGTGACTTACAGCATCCTAAACACTGCTTGGCACTACCTTAAATTCCTACTTAAGCTCAGTCCCATCACAAAACTTGTTAGTGGCACCCAGAAACAGGAGGCACTTCATATCAGAATGTAGTAAAGGGATGCCTATAGCTGTTTATGAGTAGTCGAATTCTGAAATTTACTGCCAGATGTTGTGGTTAATGCGAATTCACAGGAGTCTTTCGAGTGAGGACTCGACATATTCTTAGGAACTCAAAACAGTATTTCATTGAAATCTACTGATATTTCTCCTCTTTCCGTTAAATATATCAGTAGGCATCGGTAATCCACTGTTACCAGAAGCCCGTTAAGAGAAAGCTTCTTCCATTTCGACGCCGCTAACCTTTTGACTGAACAATGCTCTCGGACATTTCAACCGACCCACACCGACTATATTGATGATAGCTTCATCCGCAACTCCAAAGAACTTTCCGAATTGAACCTGAGCGCTGACTTGGTGTTCCGGAAACTGCAGCACTTAAGACTTCTCCTGGCCCGGATATGGTCCACTCTGCCATACTGAGGAAAGCAGCCTCAATCCTGGCAACGCCGCTTAGCGTGATGTTCTCACACTCGCTAAGCCGAGGAAAACTACCGGAAAATTGGAAGCTGGCTCACATCACGCCAATTTTCAAAGGAGGTCGACGCAGCGAAACTTCAAGTTACCGACCAGTGGCTCTTCTCTCAAAATCGTGGAGTCCCTGATATGCGATGGTATAAATGACTATTTACTGTCCTTAGATTTCTTCTCATCCCAACAGTATGGTTTCAGGAAGGGTTACTCTTGTATAGCCAACCTGCTGACTGCGGTGGACAGATGAACAATCATCCTCGATTACAAGGGGAAGGTTGATATCATCTTCCTAGATTTCTCAAAAGCTTTTGATAAGGTTAACCATACATGTCTTATCAATAAGCTCAAACGATTGGGTATCAGATCCCCTCTTATCGATTAGCTCACTTCATACCTGAAAAATCGACATTTTAAGGTCAGGGTTAATTTTACTTCATCTCAGGCTATGGAATGTCCTAGTGAGGTACCACAGGGCACAGTACTAGGACCTCTCCTCTTCTTGATCTAAATAAATGATATTCCTCAACAGGTAACGTCAGACTTATTACTTTTTGCCGACGACGTGAAACTTTGGAGAGAGATACGCAACCAAGACGATACACAGGCACTTCAGGAGGATCTGACGCGACTTCAAAGTTGGGCAGACGATAACGGACTCACTTTTAACACTTCAAAGTGTAAAGTAGTCCATCTGCGACATATTGCAGACTACAGTTACAACTTAGGAAACTCCTCTCTAGTAGTATCCCAAGTCGAAAAAGATTTAGGAGTCCTGGTGCCCTACGATTTAAAGTCTTATGCTAACTATGACAAAAATGCTTTGCGAGCAAACCTTGCACTGGTAAAATTGAAGCGCATTTTTGGCCAGCTTGACGGAAGAATTCTCCATATAATCTTCAATAGCTTTTTTCGTCCCCATTTAGAGTACGGGAACATAGTATTTCCTCCCCTACTCCAAAAGGATATGGACACTCTGGAGCGTATCCAACGGCGAATCACAAAATCAGTTCGAGGACTCAAATTTAAACCTTATGAAGAGCGCCTTCATTCACTTAACCTTTACCCATTAGAGTATAGACGTCATAGAGGTGACCTTCTTATGGCTTACAGTATCCTCAACACTTCTGAACATCCTCTTAAACACCTACTTAAGCTTAGTTCCAACACTAACCTAAGGGGTAACACCCAGAAACTGGAGACACAACATAGCAGAACAGACTGTGGACACACCTTCTAATCCTTAAGAGTTGTCGAGTGCTGGAATAAGCTGCCGGCCAAGCTAGTCCAAGCGACTTCCCAGGAGTCCTTTAAGAGGCAACTTGATCTATTCTTAAGGATTAAGGATAGTATCATACTATGAATTACCAATTTCTTTCTCCTCTTTTATCGTTAACATACCTAGGTTCCTGCCTGGAGGTTTTGGTGGTCCCCTGTTACTAGGCACGGAAGCCTGTTAAGCGAAAGCTTCTCCTATTCCGTCCACAACCATTTGAACCTACTGATCGCACCACATATTGTTAACTTATGTTTACTTCATTCAGATTCATGATGGAAATAACAACAAGTGAATCGACCTATCGCCAAGAATGATATCTTAATAAGCATACACAGATCCAAAGTCATATAGTTTCCTACTTTCGTCAAGCAAATCATGGAATTTGAATTCACTGCGCTTTATTCAAGCTCCTCGGAACTCGTGGTTTACTGACGGGATTTACTTTTATCACCGTAAACCATGTCGTTATCCCGTCTGGTCGTCGATAATAAATCATATGTATGTTCCTTCTAGATATGTTCATTACTTTTACAGAGTTTGAAGTCTAAACTGTTTTCCAGAATATCCTGGAGGACCGCAGTCACAATCGGTATCCCGCTTGGTATAGCCGGTTTGACCGTCCTTGTATATTACCTCAGAAACAAAAGTAAGTCATAAGTTTTTAGGAAGTGCTTCGTTTTCCACTGTCCCGAGTTGTCTTGTTGTTTTAGCAAACAAACTGATGTAAGTTGGTTTAGCAATATATATATATATATCAGTCAGGATTTCTGTAACAACTATAATACTTATCACTATACAATCTGAGTTTTTAACTGACTCTACAAGGGGAATATCTGTTCATGTTCAAATCTTCATGAGACACCGCCTAGATTCCGATCTAATTCTTCCCGTTAACTTTCTCCGTATATTATTGAGTTAGTTGTGATTTTAATCTGACGCTCCATCAAAATGTTGTCTGTAGTGTTACTCGACTTTCCAATCTCTAATTCCTAGACTCAGCTGTCTATCTCATGTATATCACCTTTTACGAGGTTGCATATGTAACGAAACGTGTTACTTAATAAGCGGTTCCCCTAAGTACTCAGTTGCTTAACAACTTGGACCGTTATACATATGTGCCTGGTCCTACGTTGTAGACTGAATTACTGATTTGGCTGTTTGAAAAATGTAATAGGACAGCCACGTTTCACACAAGATATGGTTTGTATCAAATGACAAGGCGGCAACTTATCGTGCGCATAATGGATTTGATTTAGGTTTAATAAGTTTAAGAGAATAAAGCATTACATTCGTATGAAAATCGGCTCCATTTTATTGTCTTACTGTGAGATGATACCCAAGCCATGCAATCCTCACATAATCAGTTGGCAATTAGTGTCCGTAGGTATGGTATGTGCTTTGCACCTTCATAGTGCAAGGCACTTTTACGAGACTGACAGGACCCCCTAGATCCTGCACTTACCCTGAGCAGTGAGTAGATAGAAGTAGTCGAGAAGTTCGTGTATCTGGGTGGCTGCATAAGTGCTGGTGGTGACATGAGTGATGATATCAATTCACGTATAGTGAAAGCCAGAGCGTTTTATGTCAATATAAGCCATCTCCGGCGCCTTCGTGATGTTAGTCTGGCTGTTAAATGTGGGATCTACAACGCGTCGGTCAGAGCAGTTTTGCTCTGTGCCTGTGAAACTTGGCCTCTCCGAGTTGATGATGTTAGGCGACTGTGTTTGATCATCTTTGTCTCCGAAGGATTGTTGATATCCAGTGGCAACACCATGTTAATAATGCAGAGGTTCGGCATCGTGTGTTCGGGCACGGCGACGATAATTCAACTATAGCAACTATCTTGAAACACCGACTTCGTGGCTTGGTCATGTCCTATAAATGTCGTCCCAGAGAATTCCACGTCGTGCTTTATTTCCCGAATCTGGGATTGGTTGGAAAGAGCGGAGAGGTGGGTAATGAATGACATGACGTTGTGGTATGGAAGAAAGCTGCACAGAACTGGCTTCTGTTGGTCCTTCACGACTCTCTGGTTGGGGTCCTAGAGATGGTGCAACACAGTGGCTAGAGACGTTATCAGATGTGGCTTAGAATAGAAGCCAGTGGAGATCCTGATGTAACTTTATTTATAGAAAATGGACGCAACTTCTTTCGTTAAAATAATTATTTTTGGTTGTATTTTCGCTAACTGAACTGTTCCTCCTATTATTATAATAACTCCCATACACTCATTTCTGTTTGTTGTTCTTGTTTTATTAAACGCACTTTACATTCTCTATCTCTTTAAAAACTCATTGTTATTGTGTGGCACATATGCATTTGGTGCCCTCTTGTACCAATGTTTATGTGTTCAAATAGAAATCTCGACCATAGACCTAGAATAGCTGAGTGACTAGAAAGGGATTTGGCTGAAATATCACTACCAAAAAGTATAACAACTTCAGCAAATGTTTTACGATCCAAGTTTTATTTCATACTTGGTCAGCGATCACTTATACATGATCATATTGATGCCTTTAATACTTGGTTTTGTGTATTCTGTTACAAACTGTTTGGTGAGCATAATAATGAATCTCACAATCAAACAATTTGTAACAGACACGTTACTTTAATCTCTATGTGATGGTGAAAATGTGTTAAGTTTTTCAGTTATAGTAAAATATTTGTATTTAAGTAATATTTGATGTCAAATTATTCTTTGAAAGAAAATGTAGGCATTAAAGAATCCATTTTTTTTTACAGAAGAGAAGAGTGAAGCAGAACTTACTCCAGAAACACCATTAGAGGCTGCTTTAGCGTTAAAGCTAAAAGGAAATAAATTTTTCAAGGGTGGACAATACTCTCAGGCAATAAGTTTATATGATGAAGGACTTAAGAAATGTCCATTGGATGCAGTTCAGGTTAGTACAACTTGTGTGGCACATATGTATTCGGTTCCCCTTTGTACCAATATTTATATGCTCAAATAGATAAATATAGTACAACTATTACACTTAGTTACCTTAGTTTAAAATCTGATCAATATAACTTTTTCTTTGTTCACAGACCAGAAACTGATTCTTCTTCGTCCTTCAAAGTACCAATTCTACTTCACCACTTTAAAGAGAAGAGTTAACTTAGTGATTAAAGGGTTCGACTTCTAACCACTAGGTAGGAAGTTCGAGTCCCCACTCACCATCTTGTTTGGGTATCCGAATAGTAATCACTGACCCTCACACATGAAATGTGGCTGATAGCTGAGTATACGAATCTGCACTCGTTAAATAAGGTGCTTCATGATTATCATAACTTTAAATGCTATCTAGACTAGCTCACTTTCTGCATTCAACTAAAGTCATATGTGTTGTCTCGATTGAAATCAGGAATCAAAAACTCAGTATGTGAATCTAAGTCTCAAATTGTACAACCTACAAGTATTTGTTGTAAATATCATTTGACCAGACTGTTTTTATAATAATACGTAAATAAGATTCACAGCCTTTCTAAGCGACATGTAATCTAGAATCTGACTCAGCGGTGGTTAACTGTATCTAATTCCATCTACTTTTAACTTCCACTGGACTCACAGTCAAATTCTCTGGTACAACTGAGGGTGGAAAGAGTCGGCTCTCTCTCCAAATGCTCTCATATGACCACGAATATACAGCTACTAACATGGAAGTTCTACTCACTGCCTTCTCGCACGGGAGTGTTTACGAAGTTGCGAAGACGAAAAGCTATTGTTTAGCGTGGACTTAAACCAAGTTGGTGGGTACGAATAGTCCGCCCTTATTCCAAAACAAATGATGCACATGAGCTCCAGTATCCCAAGGGGACAAATGGCGTATGAACCTATTGTTGGCCATCGGCTACCACAGGACTGCATCTCCTAACGTTGTTCCATTGCTTTGTTGATTAGATTTTTTAGTCAAAGGCTCGGGAAAGAGCCCCTAAGAAGACCACTTCCGTTTTAGGCACCCGGGCAGTATTGCAGTCCACACAAATTCAATGATTTGTTGGGCTTATGTATATTTTTGTTTGTGTGTTTAAATTAACGAATAACACTTAGCTCTAAACTGGAACTACGGGACACCATTAACTACAAAATAATCGAGGAAATTCCAGACCTACTCGAAAGGTTTGTAAGTCCAACGATTACCACTTTCTAGATCAGGGAATATAGACTTATTCGGATGACACTATCATCCTACTGACAAGACAATAACCACACTAAATTTACATAATTGAAACGCCATAAAATGATGTAAATGCTTTAACGTTTGTCCTGAATAATAGCCGTTATCCTTGATATTTTGATCACGTATGAGCTTTTGGAAAGCTGACATATGAGCTTCTCAGGACAAGTATTTACTAACGCCTGTTAACCCTCACGGAAAATCATAATCCAGTCACCAGCATTCTCTACGCAACTCTATCCTGGGCAATCATTTCCAGTTGCTATTCATCCTTTTCATATCTGCTCCCAATTCTCGTCCCGGTGTTTCTTTTGGCCTTCCTCTTTTCTCTTTCTCTTCAGGATTCCTAATTATCGATTGCCTCGTGATACAGTTTGATGATTTCTTCGATGTGTGTCCTATCCACTTCCAACGTCTTTTGCTAATTTTCTCTTCAACTGAAAGCTGATTTGCTCTCTCTCATAGTAGGTTGTTTGTGATGGTATCTGTTCAACGGATGTTGAGTATGTTGTGTAGACAGTTATTCATTAATACTTGTTCCTTTTGATGATGGTTATAGTAGTTCTCGAAGTTCCAGCTCCGTACAGTAGGACTGTCTTGATGTTCGTATTAAAGATTGCGAGTTTGATATTGGTTGACAGTTGCTTTGAGTTTTGTATGTTCTCCAACTGTAGGATTGCTATCCTTGCTTTGCTAGTCTTCGCCTTTACGTCTACATCTGATCCTCCTTGTTTATTGACGATTCTGTCAAGGTAAGTGAAAGATGTCACATGTTCAAGAGCTTCTGCATCAAATGTGGTTGGGTTAATGTTCTCTGTTGTGTATTTAAGGATCTTTCCTTTTCCCTTGTGTATGTTAAGGCCTACTGCTGAAGAGGTAGAAGCTTTTGCTACACTGTTTGTCTTGACCTACACTTGTTGATGTGTATGGGATAAAGGGGTCAGGTCATCTGTGAAGTCCAAATCATCTAGTTGTATCCAACCTGTCCATTTCACTCTATGCTTCCCGTCAAATGTGGAGGTCTTCATAACCTAGTCAACCACCAGAAGAAATAGAAAGGGGGGGGTGAGAGAATGCAGCCTTGTCTGATTCTGGTCCTTACTTTGAATACGTCTGTCAGCTGTCCTAAATGCACAACTTGCAGTGCAATCCATCGTACAAATTCCGAATGATGTTGACGATTTTCTCAGGTACTCCATAGTGTCAAAGAAGTTTCCACCATGTTCTATCCACACTGTCAAACTCCTCATAGTCAGGGAATTTGATGTATAGTGACGAATTCCATTCAATTGATTGTTCAACGATGATCCGTAGTGTCACAATTTGTTCTGTGCACGACCGATCCTTACTGAATCTGGTCTACTGATCTCCTAACTAAGTGTCTACTGAATCTTTGATCCGGTTCAGCAACACTGTTGAAAACCTTTCCTGGTACTGACTATAGTGTGATTCCTGTGTAATGCGCACATTTGCTCAGCTCTCCTTTCTTTGATATATTGATGAGGTGTTCTTCTTTTTAGTCGATCGGTATCACATGTCCTTCCCCCCAAATCTTCATGAATAGAGTATGAAGCATGTTTACAGTTTCAGGACAAGTGGTGTGTATCGTCTACTTTCTCCTTAACTCAGTTTTATTTATAATCGATTTTCTTCATTTTTAAATGACCTAGACATTAGTCCTCTACAAATATATCAGTAGTAAAGAAATGAGGAAAGAGTGATAAACATAAACCTGAATTTTTGGCACGTAGAAAATGGTAAAACAGTTCTGAGGTCCAATCATTTTGAAAACTACATCTAGAACACTACATCAATCGTTGTAATGTTTATTATATTCTCATTTGTTTTATACCATATTTTGTACGGTATTTTATTAATTATTTAGGAACGTGCAGCTTTCTATCAAAATCGTGCAGCAGCCAAAGAGAATCAACGTCAATATGAATCTGCCATTGAAGATTGTTCTCTTGCATTATCATTAACACCGCATTATTTGAAAGCATTAAATCGTCGAGCACATTTATATGAAAAATTAAAAAAATGGGATGAGTGCCTTTTAGATATGACAGCTTGTTGTATTTTTGAAAAATTTAAAAATGCTGTAAGTGATTAGTATCATTAACTGATTTTCTTTTTCTATGACAATAACATGTATACTTATAGATTGTGTATGAATGTAACCTTAACACACTGTTCATTTGATTGTTTTACCAAACACAAGACACCTGTGATTAGTTACTAGTAAATTATGTATCCCATCAGTCTGAGTACTGGGTATATATTGATTACTACTGTGTGTATGTGTCTACGTATACATGGAAACTACTGGTAAACGTTGTGAGCATTAATGTTATTACTTAAGTAATATTTAAGCCGGCTTTAAGGCTCCAGTGTTTGTGCTCTGAATAACCTGTAGCCTGTAGCTCTTATAGGGTTGCTGCCGGTCCCAAGACCGGGTAAAGGAGGAGGGTTGGGCATGGGGTTAGCGTCCCCATCCCGTAGAAAACTAACTCGCTAAAATAACGCTTACCAGGAAAAACAATCCAAACCATTTTAACTCTGCCCTGGGAGTTAGAAGGTCTTCATTTAGAACGATTATGACGCTTCATGGTGAAAGCCGAGTTCCTTCGGAAGCCACGAGGCCGATGCCCCTTCTAACAACCAGAGCAAAAAATTTTATAGGTACATGGAACGTTCGAACAATGTGGGAAACCGGGAAGACCAGTCAAATATCAATGGAAATGAGGAGATACAACTTAGCAGTACTGGGAATCAGCGAAACCCACTGGACAGAAAAGGCTAGCTACGGGAGAGATGCTGCTATACTCCGGTCACGAAGAGGACAATGCTCCACACACTCAGGGAGTCGCTCTTATGCTGTCCAATGTAGCACGAAATGCACTTGTAGGATGGGAATCTCACGGATCCAGAATCATCAAAGCATCATTCAAAACAAAGAAGGAGGGGATCTTTATGAATATTATCCAATGTTATGCACCCACCAATGATAGCAACGACGAAATTAAAGATCAGTTCTACGAGCGGCTGCAGTCAATCATTGAGAAATGCCCAAGAAAGGACCTAACTATTCTGATGGGAGATCTAAATGCCAAAGTCGGAATAGACAACACTGGATATGAAGATATTATGGGACGACATGGACTGGGAGAAAGAAACGAAAATGAAGAAAGATTTGCAAATCTATGTGCATTCAACAAATTGGTCATAGGAGGCACAATATTTCCGCACAAGCGTATACACAAGGCTACATGGATCTCACCGGACCACACTACAGAGAACCAAATAGATCATATTTGCATCAACAAAAAATTCCGAAGGATAATGGAAGATGTGAGAACCAGGAGAGGTGCTGACGTAGCTTCAGATCACCACCTAGTTGTAGCCAATTTGAAACTGAAGCTAAAAAAGAACTGGACAAGTGGACAAACAGCAATACAAAGGTTCAATACAGCCTTCCTTCGAGATACTGACAAACTCAATGAATTCAAGATAGCTCTTAACAACAGGTTCCAAGCCTTACAAGATCTACTGAAAGAAGAAGAAACTACTATGGAGGACAACTGGAAAGGCATCAAGGAAGCATTAACTTCAACGTGTCAAGAGGTTCTCGGTCTAAAGAAATACCATCATAAGGAGTGGATCTCTACAGAAACACTGTACAAGATCAAAGAAAGGTAGAACAAGAAGGCAGCAATAAACAACAGCCGAACACGAGCAGAGAAAGTCCAAGCACAAGCTGAATACATAGAAGCAAACAAACAAGTGAAGAGGAGCATTAGAGCCGACAAGAAGAAATACGTGGAAGAACTAGCAACGACGGCAGAAAAAGCTGCTAGAGAAGGAAATATGAAACAGCTTTACGATACAACGAAGAAACTAGCAGGGAAATACAGTAAACTAGAGAGGCCGGTCAAAGACAAAGAAGGCAAGCCAATCACCGAAATTCAACAACAGCGTAACAGATGGGTAGAATACTTCGAGGAACTCCTGAATAGGCCGGCTCCAATGAATCCACCGGACATCGAAGCAGCACACATAGATCTTCCTATAGATGTCAATCCACCAACGACGGAAGAAATTAGAATAGCCGTCAGACAAATCAAGAACGGGAAAGCAGCGGGACCCGACAACATACCAGCTGAAGCACTGAAATCAGACATCGAAGCAACCACAAGCATGATTTATCTTCTATTCAAAAAGATTTGGGAGGAGGAACAAGTGCCGATGGACTGGAAAGAAGGACACCTCGTCAAGATTCCAAAGAAAGGAGATCCGAGCAAATGTGAAAACTACAGAGGCATTACACTACTGTCAATACCAGGGAAAGTCTTCAACAGATTGTTGCTGAACCGGATGAAGGATGCAGTAGACGCCTAACTTCGAGACCAACAAGCTGGATTCCGTAAGGATCGGTCGTGCACAGACCGAATTGCAACACTACGGATCATCGTCGAACAATCAGTTGAGTGGAACTCGTCATTATACATCAACTTCATTGATTATGAAAAGGCATTCGACAATGTAGATAGGAGGACATTATGGAAACTTCTTCGACACTACGGAGTTCCTGAGAAGATTGTCAATATTATCCGGAACTCATACGACGGACTACAGTGCAAAGTAGTGCATGGAGGACAGCTGACAGATGCATTCCAAGTAAGGACCGGAGTCAGACAAGGCTGTTTACTCTCTCCCTTCCTCTTTCTTCTGGTGGTCGACTGGATTATGAAGACCTCAACATCTGAAGGAAAACACAGAATACAATGGACAGCTCAGAATCAATTAGACGATTTGGACTTCGCAGATGACCTAGCCCTCCTATCGCGTACACACGAACAGATGCAGATGAAGACAGCCAGTGTAGCAGCAGTCTCTGCATCAGTAGGCCTCAGCATACACAAAGGGAAAACTAAGGTCCTCAAATTCAAAGCGGAGAACAGCAATCCAATCACACTTGATGGCGAAACTCTGGATGATGTAGAGTCCTTCACATACCTGGGAAGCATCATCGATGAACAAGGAGGATCCGATGCAGACGTAAAGGCGAGGATCGGCAAAGCAAGGGTCGCATTCCTACAATTGAAGAACATATGGAACTCAAAACAATTTTCAACCAATATCAAAGTGAGAATCTTCAATACGAACGTCAAGGCAGTTCTACTGTATGGAGCTGAAACGTGGAGAACTACAACAACCACCATCAAGAAGATAAAAGTTTTTATAAATGATTGTCTACGCAAGATACTCAACATCCATTTGCTGGATACCATCAGCAACAACCTTCTCTGGGAGAGGACGAACCAGTTTCCAAGTGAAAAAGAAATTAGGAAAAGACGATGGAAATGGATAGGACATACATTACGCAAATCGTCAAACTGCACCACGAGGCAAGCCGTAACTTGGAATCCTGAAGGGAAGCGAAAAAGAGAAAGGCCAAAGAACACATTGCGTCGAATAATAGAAGCAGATATGAAAAGGATGAATTACAACTGGAAGGAGCTGGAAAGGATTGCTCAGGACAGGGTTGGATGGAGAATGCTGGTGAGCGGCCTATGCTCCTTCACGAGGAGTAACAGGCGTAAGTAAGTGATTATACAATGTATCACAGATAACTTTTTGTAGTACACTATTTGACTGATCTGTTCGTGTTGTATGATATGATATAAATACTATTTTGAGATTAAGTACAGAATTGGCGTTTAAGTTATCTGATTTGTATAATAGGTATCCATTTGATATTATTTATTACATGCAAGTAGGAGAACTCATCGGTCGAATTGCCAACCATGATAATATAAATATTAACCAAGTGACATAACTCAAAATTAGTCACAGTCTAGCAAATGTTTATTCATTCTTATCTCCTTTCAATTACTAAGTTTCAGTGCTATTTTACACCTTTGATCTGAATTCAATTACTTAGTGTTTAAAGTGTTTGACTTCCTACCACTCGGTCTCAAGTTCAAGTTCTATTCTACCTACTTTGGTCTAGGAACCCACGCCGTATCACTGTCATATTTAAAGTGTGGCTCAAAGCCAAGCACATGAATTTGTTCTTGGTAAATGAGTTAGATAATCGGAAACTTATGTTGATCCATATTTCTCCTAGGTTTTATATTAGTTGATTAAGAGAGGTTAACTTTACCAATTTTCGTCAGGTCAGGTCAGTAACAACGTAGAACTTCGTACGCACGTACACCAGTTCGAGTTGCCACACCACCTTAGCACAAAGATGCAGTTGTCGATTCAAATCCCGTAGTGATAGAGGCGGTAAAAGTATAAGCAGTAATCGGGAAGATTAGGGTTTGGAGATGTTATTTAAAGAGTATAATCCAGTGAAATAAATTTGGAAAGAGGAAAAAAGGGACATGAAGAATTCAGAAGATTAGAATTTGGGAGAACACAGAGAGTGTATGCACCTGCGCCATTGCAAACGATTTTGAGCCATGTCATTCAGGGTCTCTAACCATCGGTTGCTATCATCTCACGGTCCCCAACCACGTAGTCTACACCTACCAACATGACTCAGTTCACTTGTCAGTGACTTCATGGACTTGTGCCATGTTTTGGTTTGGCCGCCCCTAGCTTTCTTCCAACCTACTCGTATACCACTGAACATAGCACGTCGAGGCAGTCGGTGGTTGGGCATACGTAACACGTGTCCCAGCCATCTCAACTGATGAAGTTTCACTACTTCATCAATTGATTTGCCATCCTTACCTAGTACCCGTTTCCTAACAACTGTGTTACTTACTCGATGGTCCCATGATATACGAGCAATGTTTCGAAGACACCTATGATCAAATACTAGTAACCTACGGATATCCTCTACTCTTACCGGCCATGTTTCACTGCCATAAAGTAGGACGGAACGAACTGCTGCGCAGTAAACACGTCCTCTGGTTGATAGACGGATATCTCGCCTACGCCATAAATGACGCAAGTTGGCAAAAGCTAGTCGAGCCTTCTGTATCCGTGCTGAGATTTCGTCACACACTAAACCACAAGGGCTGATGAGACTTCCAAGATAAGTGAAGCGGTCGACACACTCAACTACTTCACTCCCTATCATTAGTTCGGGTGTCGATGTAAGCCAATCCTGAAGCAACATTTTGCATTTCGAGGGAGAGAATCGCATCCCGAACATGCTTGCATTGTTGTTTAGAGTGGTCAGAAGACTCTGCATTTTGTCAGCGTCTTCACCAAATAAAACTATGTCATCTGCATATTCTAAGTCAACAAGTGAACCTCCCGGTAGAAGTTCAACCCCTGGAAATTTAGATGAGGAGAGTGTTATCTCTAAAAGTACGTCAATGACAAAGTTGAACAAGAATGGGGAGAGTGGACAGCCCTGACGAACACCACTTGAGGTAATCAATTCTGATGACAGTTCGCCATAAGCTCTTACTCTACCAGTTGTGTTCGAGTAGAGAGCCTTTATAAGGTTAATGTACTTCTTTGGTACTCCTTTCAGTGACAAACACTGCCATAGAACCTCACGATCAACAGAGTCGAATGCCGCCTTAAGGTCGAGAAATACTACCATTGTGGGGCGTCTGAACGTGTGTCTGTGTTCTAGAACCTGACGTAGTGTGAATATCTGATCTATACGACCACGTCCAGGTCGAAAACCGGCCTGGTTTTCTCTAATCTGCTCTTCACGAGCTTTGATTAGGCGTCGAAGTATTATTGAAGCTAATATTTTAGACACTATATTGGTCAAACTGATTCCTCTGTGATTGTCACAAGAGGACTTTTGTCCTTTCTTATAGACTGGCACAATCAGCGATTGAGACCAGTCAGATGGGATTACGTCCAGTTCTCAAATTCTACCTAAGACCTCGGTTAATCTCATTGCTAATACTGGACCACCATCCTTAAAAATCTCAGGAGTAAACCTCTCGGGGCCTGCTGTTCTCCCTCGTTTCAGATTTTCTATGTCTTTTTCAACTTCGTTAAGGGACGGAGGACCTACACTAACTTGCCATTCAGGTTGACTAGAGATCGTGGGAAACCGAAGTGTGGCTGATGGCCAGTTGAACTGATCCCTAAAGTGTTCTGCCCATCGATCCAATCTCCTGGATTGAGAATGTATAATATGTCCATCTTTTTCTGAGATTGTTTCGCTAATGGTCGGGTTCCTAATTCCGGTTTCCTTAACGAGTCTGAACAATTGTTTGCTATTACCTATTGCCGCTGCCTTTTCCATCTCTCTTGCTTTCGCTACCCACCACTGTTCGCGATCATTGCGTAGACTTCTTGTCAGCTTGTGCTTAAGCTGACTCCGCTCTTCATTATGTTCAGAGCCAGGTGGAATGAGTTTCCGAGCATCTATCAGTGAGATAGATGCTGTTGAGATCCAGTGTTGCTCCCTAACCTTCTGGTTTGCCTTACTAGCAGATATCACTGCTGTTTCCACAGCTTTTCGGATATCATTCCATGCTGCATCGGGGTGGGCATCACATACATGGCTGCCTAACTGTTTTTCTAGTTGTTCCTGAAATATACTCTTAGCTTGACTGTCATTTAGTAGGCCCCTAAGCGGTTTCCTTGCAGCGTCTTTCCTACGTCCAGTAAGACGCAAGCAAATACGCGCTCGCACTAGAGCATGATCTGAATCTAGGCATGTGCTCCAGAATGAGCGATAGTCTTCTATCGAGTCCCTCCATCGGTGGCTGATAGCGATGTGATCTATTTTGGTCCAACGTTGGGACGAATTAGGGGGTCGCCATGTTAAAAGATGTTTTTCCTTATGCTTAAAGTTAGTATTTGCAAGGAACAGGCGGTTATCTGAGCATAGCTACAACAGACGGTCGCCATTATCTGTTCTTTGAGCCACGACACCATAAGATCCACCTAGGTGTCTTTCCCTATCGCTTAGTTTACCTACTTGAGCATTAAAGTCACCGGCCACTATTACTACATCCGAGCGCCTAGCTTTTCGGAGAAGGTCGGAAAGCTTTCTGTAAAACTCATCTTTTACATCATCTGAGCTGCAGTCAGTGGGAGAATAGGCAGAGACGACGAAGAGGCAACGACGAGTGTCCCTATCTTTCCGAGTCCTTACTGTTCCGTTCAGTCGGACAGCGCACAAACGACTGTCTACTGGGATCCACTCTAAGAGAGCTAGTTCTGCCCTAGGACTCAATGCTATACCTACACCAATTTTCGTCAGAAATCAATGTTTACATTACCAGGTATCAGACAAAAAGTAATCACCATCATCATCATACTTCGATAAACAGTCAAATTCATCGTTAATTTACATGGATCGATGTTTATTTCAATTTCTTATTCTGGTCCTGCTCTCTGTAATGTAACAATCGTTCACTGAGTTCCTGTGATAAGTAGAAGTGGTAGAATTCGGTATGCTAACTAGTAATTCCCTAGAATTGTTCAGTGCGAACTCTAATAGTAAAAAAGAACCAGCGCTCAAATGAAAGAGGAAGCGGTAAACACGCTTGGAGGTATTGTATTTTGTTATTCGAATAAGCCTCACAATAATGTACACGGTAATTATGAATACATATACACATCACCGTTCCTTGCGTTGTGTTTTTATCAAAATAAATTGTGTGGAGTGTACATATATAATCCACATTATTATTATTTATTTATTTATTTCAGGACAACATTGTTTTCATGGATCAAGTACTCAAAACAATCGGACAACAGAAGGCTCAAGAAGAACGTTCCAAATTATTGCATGAATTACCATCAGCTTCCTTTATTCGTAATTATTTGAGGTGAGATGATAGATGATCGTTTGCTAAGAACTAAAACAAACTTAGTAAACTCAAGGTTTATGCAGCGAGCTTTTTAGATCCATATTTTAAATCCAAAAGCTAACCATCCTATCCGTTTGCCTAAACCAAAGATGTCGTAAGGAGATTCGAACCTTTGGATCTTATTGTGGTCGAAACCAAATATTAATACACCGTGTCTGACGAAATCTCAGTATGGGTTTTAAAAAGTTTGTTTGACTTTTGCTAGGTTCCATCACGTATGGCGTAGACGAATTGTTAGTTTGCCAACCAAAAGATGGTTACATTAACTAACTATACGTTCTCTTCTAGTCTATGGCTGTAAAGCGCGGCTTTTAAAAATAGAGGATCCCTACAGGTTATTAGTGTTTGACCATTCATGCTTTCCAAGCAGTATTGCTTCCGTGTTTTGTGAACAATAAGTAAGCAATACTAAAATTAGACTCAAGGTACTTGGGAAAAACGGTAAGTCAATTTGTTAGGTTTCGAGTCGTTATCGATTGATGTGGTTAGGATTTAATTAATATATTACTTGTGTCTAACGACCGCCTGTGTTGACACCCTATGCTAGCTAATATAGGAGTAACTTGAAAGAAAAAAGATAGAGCTGCCCAAACTGAGACGTGGCACCAGCCCATCGAAATCACTGACTGTTCGATTGGGCTATATTGGTTGGGGTTCATGCCATTTTCTGTAGATGATAATTAGTGACGTTTAATGACATGGCTCGGATGTATCTGCTCTTTATCTTCCTTTTATGTCTTTAGTTGGAAACTTATCCTATACGTTTTATTTCACTAATTCATTCCTTTCGAATCATATCGTCTATGCCTAATCGTTTCTTTGTACTAACATCGAGACTGTTATAACTTTTAATACTCTGGAATTTGTCCTGATAATTTCATCCAGTTGTACTGATTTGGTGTTACAACTTGAACCGATGGATACATGTGTACCACGTCCTATTTTGCAAATGATTGATTGACGGCGACTGCTTACTGTGATAATATCCCAAGCTGCTTTAAATCTAAACATGTATTCATATGAATGATTGCAGTTCGTTGTATTTATTGTGTTTATTTATACTCAAATGTGGGTACAAAAGAGCACCAAATATATGTGTGCCACACAGTCAGAAAATGAGATTGTGAAGAGATAGATGAATAAGGTTGCGGATAATCAAAAACAATAGATAGATAAAAATAAGTGAACAAAAGTAGTAAATTATGGTAAAAGCGGGTTCAATTAAGAAAAATAAAACTAGGACGAATCCTTTCAACCGAGGAAGTTCCTCTCACTTAAGGACCGACAAACACCAATCCTCTGCAGTTTTCTTTCTTACCCAAGCACCATATCATAAAATGATCACCTTCCCACTTTTTCCAACCAGTTCCAGAGTAGTTGGCAAGTAATGCCCGATATGGAAGCTACTGGGATAACATTTGTAGCATATGTCTAGGCCATCGAGACCGATACCTCAAGATGGTGATATCGGTTGGATTATTGCCACTGTCTGGACTCACATTGCCGAATATCAACATTGCTAACATGCTTTTACCATTAATATTGATTATCAGTGTTAGTTGTATTGATAATGTAACATGAAATAAACAGAAGACTAGTTTGTGTATGGTGCTAATACTGCCTTTAACACTTCTACTAAAGTTTGAGTGAGATAATCACTCTTATCACTTATCTGGTTAAATGGTTTTATACTTTTCCTCATGTGTCAATTGGATCTTTTTTTAAGACAGTTTAGTGTATGTATGTATGTGTGTGTATGTATGTATGTATTATTTATGCACGTTTAGAAAACTCGTGATGTAAACAAACCATTCCTTTGCATGATCATCATAATAATACTACTTAACGCAATAACTATATATCTTTTTACTAAATGGTTATTCAGGAAACAATTAAACAAAAAGACTACACTCATTATTTTCTTATGGATGATTTTAACCTTAAAATCTCTTGGTTTTTTTCTTTTTCATCTTACTGTGTTCATTGCTACATTTAGGTTTTTAATTTCAAAGGGTTTCATGTATTGTTTATACCAATGAGGATTGATTAGGTCACTCTATTCATGGGTGCGGATTTCAGTAGTCATATATAATGTATTACTGTGATCGTGAAACAATGACACTGTCGTAAAGGTCTTCGGCTACCAAGTTCTAAGCTAGAACTCAGTTCTGTATACTTCAGCTTTAGTAACTGAGTTGTGTCACTCGTTTTCGTACTTAAAATGTGCCTCAAAATCAAGTACACTAATCTGTACGTGGTAACTGAAGCAGTCTGTCATTATGAATTTGTTTATTGCGAAAATTTAATATGATCAACATTGTATCTGAAGAAATTCAGTAGTTTGGAGCCCTTAGATTAATAGAATGTTTCTTCTGTAAAGATGCATGGTGTATTACTTAATTTAGATGAACCATTTCTCAACCAATTTCGAACTTAAAGTTTTAATCAATATCCTTTCAGAGTTGAATAATAATTACCTAGGTAAAGCCTATCTAAAACTACTCATCAAAAGGGCCACCCATGACCGGCCTCAAGGAATTGTCCTAGTCACGTTCTCAGATCGTTAAGAACCACCTTCAACCGAGTTAATCTTCCGTCGTGTGGAGAACCGAAAAACGGAAACCATCCTCACACCTCTGACACCATGTATTATAGTGCACGGTATCCAGGTCTGATATTTATACACAAACTTCCTATATACAGGCCTCAGCTGACTCAAAGCACTGGTTTTGGGGCTTGATCTCATATATTCACCCCACTCTAAATATATCATGAAATAGTATATTTACTTTTGTAATATGACATTTATGTCCCGGATATTCAATACCTGTATCGATTAAACAGTTTTAAATAAATAAAATGAAATAAATGCCATATGAATACAGCCACTACCGTTGGATCTTTAAAAAAGTCTATCCAAGTGTTTACAATCACTGATCATGAAATTTTTTCAAACTAGAAACAGATATTTAGAGATTCTCATCCCGGTTTATGGTTTTTACTCCTATTGAACGATGTGGACTTGTTCACTTTCCAATTTATTTTTGTTGTAACTTGTTTACTATTCTTTATAATACAACATTTATTACTCTTACTGTATCAACTAAAAACATGTATGTGTGTCTAAACAGGCTTTTGAGATTTGTATTAAGCAAAGATTAGTGGATTTTGATTATCTATACACTATCTCTGTTCATATTCATGGTTACATGCATGTTCAGATTTCTACTTGCTCAGCTTTCTGTATCATAGTGATAATAATACTGTTTCTTATTTGTTTAAACCTAAATAGATAGAGATGTGATTCGTGAGTCCACTATCCCTCTCCAAATGCTCTCACATGGCCACGCGTATATAGCCTCTGCCAGGGAAGTCCTACTCACTGGCTTCTTGTGGCAGGGGTGTTGTTTACGAACTCGAGAGGACGAAAAGCGAATGTCCAGCGCTTTAACCCGGTTGGTGGACATGGAGAGTCCACCTAGGGGAGTTGGAAAATACTGATTCCAAACCAATGGTGCACATGAGCCTGAGTATCCTGAAGCAACAAATGGTGTATGAACCAATTGTTCGTCACCGGCTACCATGGGACTACATCTCCCTACGATGCTCCACTGCCTTGTGGATCCGACCTTTATGTTGAAGGCTCAGTGTATTTCCCCCTAAGAAAACCACATGCTTCGGTTTAGGCACCCAAGCAATATCACAGCCCACACACAAATCTAGTGGCTTGTGTGGCGCATATGTATTCAGTGCCTCTTTCGTACCACTGTTTATGTGTCAAAATAAATAAATAAGTTAAAAAACGAAAGTAATATATCAAGTAATGAGTGTGATTTGATTTTGAACAAGGTAGTTGTCACTTTAAGGTTTCTCATATTCCGTGGTAGGGTAATCTTTAAATGAAGTTGAAAAGAAAGCTGGGTCAGTAGTGGTCTTGACGAACTGACAGCGTAACTTCGGCCGAACTACTTGAGTTTGACCTCATACCGTCTTTTTATTAATCGCTTTAAATGTGTTCGTTCTGAAACACTAAAGTCTTATCACTAGTGACCAAAATCAATGGAGCAAGGTAATATGTTCTTTTTTTAGGGTCTATATTTTCTTATTTCTCTCCTATTATGGAATGGCAGCACCACTGAGGATGTTAGTTGATTGGAAGAAACAATTTATTACTGTCATAATATGAAAGAACTAATATTTTAACCAGTATAGCTTAATTGAGTCATCATAATATCCAAGTCTAATTACCATGTCAGGGAACCAGTTACGGTCAAAAAGACGAGGGCTTTAACCAATTTATTACGTCTTATGTTTATTTCTTCATACTAATTAATCATTGAGTAAAATATGTGAAATTGTAAATTTTATTACAGTTAGAACGGTCATACGAATAAATATTTTGTTTTAACCACTAGTAATATTTAACAGTATAGCTCAAAGTCTGTTTTTCTTTCTATGTTATCATAGTCAGTTAAATGGTTGTGTACACACACTTATCCTAGATAGGATGAGCTAAATTAATTTTGAGTAATCAGTTTAATTGTTACTTACACGTAGATTCTTTTACATCTCATTATTTAATATCCCAATCTATTTCTAGCTTTTCGTAATCATATAATGAAGCATAAATAAGCATTCCTCACTCACTGTTTCACAAAATGTTTGTGACAAATTTCAGTATATTAAACTAATCATCATTTAGAGTCTTGAAGCCTTAGCTTGGTAATCAAGGCGTTCGATATTCAGTCACTAAGTCCCGGATTAGCAAACAATTAGAATTAACAATATTGAAAAAGTCACTAATCATCGAAAAAATAGTTGCAAAAGATATGTACAAAGAAATACTAAGACTCAAACACCAGAGGGAAAACAACGAGTAAATGCATTCGAACCGTCTCAGCCTACTCTGAACCACATCACTTAACGTCTCTAATCACTGTGAGCGCAGTTATTGCGTAGATTCCAACCAGGTGGTCAACATCTGCCAGAGATTACGACATTTTCAGAATCATCTTAAGCTACGTATATTCTCCATCATCTCAGTATTTTGTTTGTGTGTTTTGTTCATACAGCCAATATTTAACAATTTTTTCTCTCATCCTTTTCTTCAATTTAGCGCATTCGCATGTAATCCATTCACAGTTAATTCTTCACAACTATCCAAGCATAATTCACTGACTGAAACTAAGACTGCAGTTAACGGAGTAGCTGATGATCATCCTGTATCAAATATGCCCAGCACCACAGAAGTACCCAATATTAACAATCCTAATCAATATGATTGTACACAATTTAAAGAACCTCTTCAATCAGCGTTTAATAATGTAAATTCAGCCTTAGATTATATGACGAAAGGTGATTATCAACAGTCAGCTGATCATGCGATGAAAGCCGTTAATTTGTTCGAATCAGTGAGTGTTTCTTTTATTATAAATTCTGTTATGTGTGATTGATAATATATATATATGTTGTATAGATCTGTTTCATCTCATGGATTTCCATATAAGCATGTCTTCTGACGTTCATTGCTTCGTGAACTAGTCTTTAAGGTCAGGGACTCAACTGATTTGTCGGGGAGATTGTTTTATATAAAAGCTACCAACTTCAATTTTGGCACATGTAGAAGAATAGGAGAAGAGGCATATCGCTTACACAGAAGTTGGTATAAATCTTTTCTTAGGTGTTCTTTTTTTACCACCCATCCTTTCTGTGTCTTCTCAATAGGTAGTTGTATCAGATTAGTGGTACATCCACTCTTTGTCCTTGCTATGCTTCCCCACTATTCTTCTTCCTATTTCACTATTTTATTTATTCGTGAATTGTACCTTGGATGCCTAATCTGTTCTATTATCACTAATACTGTTACTACTTCTATTTCTCTGGGATTTATCTTGATAATTTCGTCTTGTTATATCGATTTGGTATGTGAACTTAAAACAATAAACATTTGTGCTACGTATTCTACGTTGCATTAGACTGACTGTCTTAATAATGTACCTTCATTCCAATGCCTTTATCTGAATCCGAGAAGTGAGTCCCATACTTCAGGAGGGTACAATTATACGTTAGGCTAATCCGAAGTTGGTCAGATGATAAGAGCATGCGATCGGCCGAGAAATGGCTTACATTTCTTAGGAATGAGACAGTTTTGCTAGTTTAATTTTCTAAGGGATACATATATGAGGAAGTGTACTTGCTGGTTCAGTTAGTCAATAAACTTCCTTTCTCACTCCCAGTCTTTCCACTTGAACACCATACAATACAACATTCAGCTCTTTACTATTTATCTGTCATGTAAAGAATCCGTTTTAGAAAAAATCTTAAAATCACCATAAATTCATTTAGAAGCAAATATTATCCAATCGTATCACTATAATTTTCGAGGTTTTTGGATTTCCCATCTTCTGAAATTTCTCATCTGCATCAGTTATTTAGAGGCTGCTTTTGTGTTATTTCATCGGGCTTGTACAATCTTTTGTCATAAATGCAGTCAAAAAGAGAACACTATTGTGTTGGAAATCTTGTTATGTAAGGAAATATTCACAGATCTCACTGGATCTGGCTCGATGAAAACCACTGCCGATCATTTCGCCATAAATTCAATAACTAACTTGCTTATTATAAATACTCTTTAATAAGAGAAACTTATTGACATTTGTCTCAAACTATTTTTCCATCATTTGTAATAATTTCTCCTAAGCATTGCTCACTTATGTTGAAAACAACTTGTAGGTGATGCTAAGATTATACTCAGGATACTAGGTTGTTAAGATAATGAATATTCATCGATTGACATGGTCGGGAAATGTATCACGTGTGCCCCACCACCTATTTGAAATGTTAGTTGTTGTAGGGGTAGATTAAAAGAAAAATAGGTGACCAAACCAATTTGCGACATCAGTACATAAAGCCACTGATTGCTAGTCTGAGGTGTGGTAATAGATGCAGACTACGTGGTTAAAGTCTGCAAGATAACTGTGATCAGTGATTGAAGACTGGGTGATATGGTTCAGAATCGTTCACAATGCTCCAGATGAATTCATTCTTCATCTTCTTTGTTAGATTTTAAATTTTAAAATTATCTTATACCTATCATTCCACAAATGCTTTCTTCTCACGCTATAATATCCATGCTTAATGTTTTCTACCAATAATACTGCTACTACTTCTACTATTCAACTATTTGTCTTGATAATTTCATCTTGTTATGCTAATGACGTATGGGAACTTGACTCAATACACATTCGTGCTGTGTGTCCTACGTAGCATTAAGCTGACTGTCTACTAATCACTATAAATACTGCTATATTTCTGTCTGTTTGTTTGTTGTTTTTACTTAGATGTTATCGGATAAGTCGTTCGCAGATGTAAAGAATTTGGTCAATTCATCATCTGAGTTAGATGATAGTGAAACAATTTCAAAATCAAATGATAATCTCATCTCTCCTGAGTCTAATGAACATAATGGAAATGAAAATGAATTGGACAGCAAAGAAAACAATATCGTCACCACAAATTCAAATAATACGGATTCCTTCAATAAAATTAAAACAAATGAATCTATTCAAGTGTATATTAAAGAAGTATATAATCAAATTTCACTTTTACACGCTACTTATCAAGCATTAGCTGGACGTTCTGAAGAAGCAAAAGAACGTTTTCAAAATATTGGTATGGTGGACTCTGGAGCTTCATTAGTGGTTCGTGTTAATGCATTGATTAAATCTGCATGTTTATCAATGTCAGTTGATCAAGTAAGTTGAATCGATCTGTGTGTTTATAGTTGAGCTTTTACTCTAAGATATTATTTTAGTTTTAAATGGGATTTTTTTCGTAACTAGGCATTGTACATTTACTTCACCAACAACCGAAGAAATCATCATGGCTATCAGACACTTCAAATATGGGAAATCATCAGAAGCAGACGATATACCAGATGAGGCACTGAAGTCAGATATAGAAGTAACTGAAAAGATGTCTGACATTATGTTAAAAAAGGTTTGAGAGTAAGAACAAGTAACAACAGACTTGAAGGAGGATACTTTGTCAAGCTAACGAAAAAAGAAAACTGAAGAGGAATCACGCTGTTATCAGAACCGGACAAGATTTTCAACAGAATTGCTGAACCGAATGAAAGATTCAGTCGACAAACAATATCGAAATCAACACATTAAATTACGTGAGCATCAATCGAGGATCGACCAAATAACGACATGACAGACCATTGTTCAACAATCAATTGAATGCTACCCATCACTATACATCAACTTCCATGACTATGAGAAAGCATTCGACAACGTGGATAGAAGAACTTTGTGGAATCTTCTTCGACAACATGATGTACACGAGAAGATTGTCACCATCATACGGAATTCCTAAAACTGATTACACTGCAAGGTTGTGTATGGAGGACAGCTCACAAATGCATTTCAAGTGGAGATCAGTGTCAGACATGGCTGCTTACTCCCACCCTTTCTCTTTCTTCTAATGATCGACTGGATTGTGAAGACCTATACATCTCAGAGAAAGCAACGAAAACAGGGGACAGCTTGCATACAACTAGACGATTCGGATTTTGCAGATAACCTAGCTCTTTTATCTCATACACAGCAAAAAATCCACGTGAAGAAATCTGATGTAGTAACAACCTGTACACCCGTATGTCTCAAAATACACAAAGAAAAAAGCAAGATTCTAAAATACAACATAGAGAACATCAACTCAATCACACTTGATGGAGACGCTTCGGAACGGGTGAAAAGGTTTATGTACCTGACCAGTTCAACTGGTAAAAATGGGGGATTTGATGCAGATGTGAAGTCATGGACTGTCAGACAACACCATAGTCATAATTTTCAATACGAACATCAAGACAGTTCTATTGTACACAGCTAGGAATCGGATAACTACTACAACTGTCATCAAAAAGGTACAAGCATTCATAAACAGTTTTCTACGTAAAATACTCAATATCCGTAAGCTACACAAGATATATATATAATTTTTGTGTGGAGAAAATCTTTGATCATTTCGATTTCGATTGGTAGTTCTAAGAATCGGATGAATATAATATTGATTTTTTCTTCTCAGCAATTAATCAGCGTAAATATCTCAGTCCTACAGGAAGATGATCAGTCAAAACTGGAATAAGTTATTGTGATAACGTCGTTGATAGTAGGTGACATGGATTTGGATCCTAGATGGGAAGCATTATTTGAGATTGCTGGTTTACCTTACTAACAGGAGCCAATTACCGTGGAATAAAGGTCAAGCGAGTTTTCCTGATGATTACGTCGAACCCACCCATTAAACTTATTTGTAAACGATATTTAACTTGGTGTCGTAATCGGACCATAAAACTCCATGACTGTTGGTTTGAAACAAGTTGGTGGACGCAAATTACCTGGTCGGAGTCTGTACGATAGTGGCGATTGGTGACTGGAGTTGCTTGAGGATGAAATGGCTCAGGAAAGTTCACAATAGCACACATACATTCGTTTCCTTTATTTATGTCTTGGATTTCAATATTTCCTCATATACATCTTTTCAATAAGCTTTTTCCTACTATATTATTGATCTTATTAATGTTCTTGCTAAATTATTTCGATTTGGTTTTTAATTAATCTTGGAAATTTCACTTCATCGTATCGATTTGGTATGACAACTAAAGCCAAAGCTCACTTGTGCTGGGTTTTACTTTTATGATAATTGGTTGACTGACGTCAGCAACATGACCTTAAACTTCACAACCGTAGCGAGTCGTTAGAATTTGCTCACAAGTTGTAAGAGGTTCAAACCAATTGTTCTGATCTCGACATATTCAGATATTATTGATTGTTATCAGTGATTGTGCGCGTGTGTGTGTATGTATCGTCTCATTTTCTGTAGATCGACTTTTTGTATTATTCTTTTCTCTGATTCTTGATTTCCAACCTTTTCGTTACATTATTTTTCATTTTCCACAGGAGATAAACGTGTTTTGATCTCCAAGTTATGATACACTATACAAGCAAATGAGATGAAATCGACATAAAATGTATAACAAAATAGTCTAAATGGCAATAATGTTATTAAAAAGATGGAAGTCTGATTAGGGCTAATATATCAGAAGCTCCTGGCATAGGCTATTTGTACATAAATTTACATTTTCTTAAAGTAATAATTTTTCACACTCATATTTTACAGTTTATTGTATCCTTCATACATATTTTTCACATGCATAGGATGTAGCTGCTTGTCTTTATGATTTCCAACGTGCACAAAATGTTTGGCCTGAATGTCCGGATGTGTATCTTCATCGAGGTCAAATTAATCTATTAGCTGATCAATTAGATGAAGCATTGCATGATTTGAATACAGCTGTTAAATTAAAGCCGGAATTTTCAGTTGCACAGGTTAGTAGTTGGTTATACTTATTTGTGAGTTTTGGTGGGTAAGTGGGTGAGTGGACTGTTACATAACGAATCAATATAAGCTGGAGAATGATGATCGTTTATTAGTGTCATTGTTTATGGTTTTATTCAATATTATTTATTCAGTGCAATATTGAATTCTCAGCACAAAGTATTTCAACAAGTTTCCGTTTCTTATTTCTTGATCGATCCTGACGATAAATATTGAGTGATTGCTAATTAAATGTTAGCAGTCCAGGACTCGACATCCGAATAATATTCATTCCTTTCAATACGTATTGCCAACCACTACGATGTCTCTGATGGTTGTAATTCTCTGTAACTTGTACAGTGAAAGGTCGTAAACACTTCATAAACGCGTCTGAATATATTATACGATTAATGGACATAATGATGTGTTAAGACAAACAAAAGGCAGGTAGCTTGTTGAAATATCTAAATAGAAGGAACAGATAGTCTATATATTCAAGCAGGCCGCGGAATGATGATATTTCCTAGTATTTAAATCATTCAATATTTACTAAGCCACAATTTTCTTATCACTTGTTAACGTGTATTTAAGGATTTTACTACAAGATCTTCATTTAGGAAATATGTATATCAACATTGCGCAATGATGTCTTGTATGTTCAAAATAGTCGTTTATTTATTTATTTAAACACGAACATTGGTACACAGGAGACTAAGATATATGTATAGGACATACCAATAGTTGAACTTATGTATAAGCTGAGATACTGTAAGGGTGCCCAAACTGAAACAGGTGATTTTGTTAACAGCCAAAAAGTATTTATTTATTTATTTGAATACATAAACATTGGTACAAAGGGGCACTAAATACTTATGCGCCTCATAATAACAATATAACCAGTAGCAGTTATCATTGATTTGAGTGAGGGCTGTGATAATGCCTGGTTGCCCAAACGGAAGCATCTGGTTAGTTTGTGTTTTTACTAATAGTTTTATGGGTCTACATTACCGTACTGTATCACTGAATATGCAATGAGCAAATTATTTCAGTTGATGTGAATAGAGAAACAAAAAAGCCATGACAAACATCGGAAGCTGTTTTTGGGAACATTATATCACTTAATTCAAAGTTTTTAAAATAATAATATTTAGTTTTATCCCTAGGTTATTCTATAAACCATAAGCTTTCGTTTGATAGGCAGTGACAGAGGCAGTACTTTTGGTTCTTAAATGGACATAATTCCACAAAATGCCATGCTCCACAAAGCCAACATTTTGATGGTGGTTTCTCAGCAGGTTCTTGTGTTTTGTTTGGAAAATTTTAAGGATTCGACAGCATTATTTATTTATTTATTTATTTGAACACATGAATATTGGTACAAAAGAGCGTTAATATATATGCGCCACACAAAACAATGAGAATTCGAAGAGAAATATAAAAAAAAACTAAGGAGCGCAAAAAGAAAAAGAGAACAATAACGAAGAGATTGGTGTAAGGTAGTGTGGTAGTAACGAGGGAACGGAAAGGTACAATCAGAAGAAATCTTTCAGATAAGGGAGACACAACCACTTTTTATGAAGAAAGTAAAAGAAGGTTACAGCAGGATCGCCACTGGCTTCTATTCTGAGCCATATTTGATAACGTCTCTAGCCACTGTGTAGCACCATCTCTTGGACCCCAACCAGGGGGCCGTGAAGGACCGACAGAAGCCAGTCCTTTGCAGCTTTCTTTCATACCACGACACCATGTCATGCACTGACCACCTCTCCGCTTTCTCCAACCAGTCCCAGAGTCGGCAAATAATGCACGACGTGGAATTCTCTGGGACGACATTCGGAGAACATGTCCAAGCCACCGAAGTCGGTGTTTCAAGATGGTGACACCAATTGAGTTATCATCTCTGTGCTCGAACACACGATGCCGAACCTCTGCATTACTGACATGGTGTTGCCACTGAATGTCAGCAATCCTTCGGAGACAGCGATGATCACACCATCGCTGTATCATGTTTGAGATTTAACAAACATTGACACTTGGTTGTGACCATTTGCGAAGTGATGTTAGGCTCCTACTCAATGTGCATTAATATTCTGATGCGGATGTCAACATCTGCAAACAAAAATCAAACATTTAAACTGATCTGTTGTAATTTCATTAACTTTTTTAATCTTTCACATTCTCGATTTACTTTTCCCAGCATCATCGGGTGGAGATTATGATATTTGAAAACATTGGTAGCGAGTGTGGAATGTGCCGTAGTTTCTAAATATTCGTGTAAAGTGGGATGATACAGTCCTAATGTTACCTAAAATTTTAGTAGATAGTCTTCATTATTCAACACTTGCTATCAATGTTTCCCAATATCAAAATCTCCACTGATGAGTCCTAGATAAAATGAGACTCACCTCATAAATTCCACTGCTACTACTAATATTCTCTCCTAATGCTTAACTTTTTGTGTTAAGTAATCGTTAAGTAACTTTTGTTTCTGTCTGTAATGATTCTGAACCTCGTTGGTTTATAAAATATCCCTATTAAAATATATCCTACTGTGTGTATACTTCCCTAATGTTCATCCACTCTTTTTCGCCCTAAAATATAATTTGTTTGTAATTTACATTCGTTATTGATTTAACTTTTTCTGTGGATTGTTTTTTCTGCTTTTTGAATTTTAGGCTCAGCGTTTGTACACTCTATATCGATGCGCATTAACTGCTGGTGATGTTAGTAAAGTGGATTCTCGCATTGAAGAGTTTCGTCGATTAGTAAAGAAATATCCCAATTGTTTGGAAACTCATTCTTTATTTGCTCAGGTAAGATAGATATAGACTAATTTCCAGGTATTTAGGTATGAGCCATACTCTAATTGTAAGTGTTAATAATACTACTTTGTTGCCGAAACCGAATTAGGCGGGAGGAGGTTCGAACCTAGGAGTTAGTGGTCAAAGTGCGATTCCATAACGACTGAGCCGTCTACTCTTATAACAACTAGTATTTTATATGTGAAAGTATACAGTTGTGACCAGGAGGGCATATACTACAACATATTGCTTATGCATTAGAATATCAGGTTTTCGATTAAGTTTGTGGGTTAATGAGTGCATTCGATCAGTAACTGAAGTTAGCGATTTTGTGTTGTCACAGACTAACTGTTTACAAAGTAATTAAAATTCAAACAAAAAAGAACATGATCTCAAGCACAGTGAGATCATTCAAAATCACTTATGTTCAGAACCTTATTTAATTCCCAACTAAATCAGACAAATCTCTTACTTCATATTCTTAATTCCTAGTTAATTCTATCTTAATATATGAATAGAGAATACCATGAAGAAGTTATTTATACGATCAAACACTGTCATGTACATATTTTGTCTGAGTTCCAGAGGTGACTTAATTTTACAGTCCTTGGATAATACATATAAAGACTCCTTTTCGGGTATGCTTACTTTTTGTAGGGAAATTCGCTACATTGTAGTTTTAATTGTTGCGTAATTTTCATATGGAGTGTGCAGATCATTTCTATGAATTAGCTATGTGTGTGTGTGTGAAAACGTGTTAGCACTTTAAGAAACTTAAACTCTACCAGAAAAAAAGAAAACGGTTTACTCTATTCATCATCTCAAAGTGAGATATTAATGCTGCATTCTGAACGAAAACAAACATCATGAGAATTCTGTTATGCAAAACGTTTTTTTATCTATAACGTTAGGATTCATCTACGCTGAAATATAATAGAAAAACAGTTGAGAATATGTTAACTATTTGGCTTATCATAAAAGTTTCAACTTTATTGGGTAATGTTCAATTGTACATTCCTGATACACTTACTAAAGCTTTGTGATTATTTTGTGAAAATAAGGAAAAATCCAAGTACTTGTTTAGGAGTTAGAGTCTATTTTTGTAGTTACCAGGTCTAACATTAGTTAATGTGAATATTCAATCCCACCAGTTGATATGGTTTTATTCCTTTTAAATCATGAACAATTGAGATCTTAAGTTTGAAACTCATTTTACTTATTGATTGTTTCTCTCAGATCAGGAAATTGAAATACTTTATTATTATGATGATGATTACGTGCGTGACAAATAATTACTTATCACATTTACAAGACACACAAGGGGCTAGTTAATGCGGTGTATCATTTTATCAATGTAAAAAGAATTTCAAACTTTCAGTTATTGACAGTTTGTTTTCAATCACTCTCAATACGTTGTTGTTGTTGTTGCTCTTGTCATCATAGTAATCTGAAATTGAATAAGAGTTATGTGGGTGCTGTTTTTTTGTTTGTTTGTTTGTTGCTATAATAGTATTATTGGTATATTGTTTCATATGGCAACAACTTATTTCAATAATTTCATGATTATTTGCCGTTAGATTAGATTTATATAAACATTAGTTTAATCTCACTTGGTATTGTTTGGCTTGTATCTTTTCATTGAGGTTTAAGACTGCAATTGATCAGTCTGTTATCGGCATATGCGCATACTGTGCGTATGCCTTGATATTACCTTAATCCACTGCTAGCCACTATCCATCATTAGTTTAATCTATTAAGTAATGATTAAGTTAGTGAAATTACCTTAAGATTAATCGATAAACGTCACTGTGTAAATGTGTCAATGTTTTTTTGTTTTTTACTCAGCAAAACGAAAACATTTCTCGGTTTTTGTTTTGTTTTGTGTATTTGAAGACGGAGAAACATTCAGTAATTTTTGTGACGATTAGAATTTGAAAAAAAAACAGGCTGGTTTATTCGATTAGAGAATTTTTAAGATGATGAATCTAAATTGATATGGGTATTATTGTTATTATTATTATTATTATACGGTCACACAGTCAGTTAGCCAGTTAAACACGCCGTAGAATTTGATACATGTTTTTTCATACCCCATTAGCACAACCAGATAAAATTATCTGAATAAATCCTAGAGTAGTAGTAGTAGAGATAGTATGATTAGGAATAGAAAATACGGTTCGAGCAGGAAATATAAATTAGTGAAACAAAATATTTAGGAATTGAAGATCTAAGGAAAGAGACTGAGGTTGAATACACTTTTATCATTACGGATGATTTTAATCTATATCATGCAAAATATCCAACCAGGAGTTATGATAGTAAAATGGATCCCAAACAAGTAGTATGCACTTGTTAATATGACTTGGTTCTATTGTTAATGACTGTAGACTAGTACCACATGTTGGTTTGACCTTTCCTAGCTTTTTTTGAGCATACTATTACACCAGCCAACATGGATCGTCGAGATAAGTAGTGTATGGGTATATGTAACACATATCCTAATTACCTCAGTTGATAAAAATTTACTGCTTCATCAGTCGATTTTTTATTTTTGCCTAGTATTCTATGTCTAACCTCATTGTTACTCACTTGATGGTCCTGAAGTACGAAAGTGTTATGCTTAGTTTAGTTTGAAGTACTGAAAATATTCATTTCTTTTGTAAGGTTAATAATTAATTGGTTTTGAACTTTTGTTAGGTTTACATGTCTAAATGAACTCGTCAATACATCATATTTTAGCCTATACAATCAATCATAAATAATGTTAACACTTGTGATAAATGTGTAACTAGTTCAAGTTGTGAAATTTCACATTCAGTCAGTCAGGTACAACGTAGGACCAGGCACATATATGCATCGGTCCAATTCGCCATACTTCATTAACACAACAAGATGGACACCGGATTCATAAAAGTAGTTAATTCAGAGGTGGTAATATATAAAAGGAAGATTGCAATAAGGATATAGTACAGGAAGAAAGAATTCGTTCGTAGAAAGAAAGATATGAAGCGATTTTAATCTCTTAGTTCAAGGGAAGACAGAGAGTGTATACACCGACGTCATTGTGATCGATTCTGAGCCATGTCACCAAGAGTCTCTAATCATTGGTTACGATAGTCACGCAGACCCCAACCAAGTAGTCTACATCTACCAACATGGCTCAGACTAGAAGTTAGTGACTTTGTGGACTGATGCCACGTTTTGATTTGGCCGCCCCTAACTTTCTTCCAACCATCCCGAACACCGGTTAGCATTGCACGTCGTGGTAATCGGTGTTCGGGCATACATAACACGTGTCCCAACCATTTCAGTCGATGAAGATTCACAACCTCATCAACTGATTTACCATCATTCCCTAATACCCTGCGTCTAACCTCACATTATCATAATCTCAACAGACAGATAGATAGATAGATATCATCAACATAGATCCTGGTACATATGTAAGTTGGTATAGATTGTCATACAAGATTAACATAACAAGACGAGTATGACAAATAAAGTCGAAATAATGTAATAACAGTTATAAAAAGAGAGACTCAATTTTAGGAATATAGTTTCAAAAGACACAGTGAGAAAAGATGATAAAGAGTGAACACATTTATCCTACTTTGATTGGAAGTCTTTGACAATTGATTTCAATTATTAACTCACAAACGTAAACAAAGAAAACTTGATTCTTTTCTTAAGAACTCAATCTCTCTACCTTTCATACTTTTTATTCCTTGTTTTATTATTAACCGATCAGTGATTGTATGATATTACTTCAGTAACACCAGTTATTAAATACTAACACATGGTGCATATTTTCCACTTTCAAAGATCATTCATATTACTCGATTGTTAGGTAATGTAGACCGAAGTGCTGCATAATTATACTCATCTTTAAAAAAAACAATATACAATAAGTATATCATTTTCACAGTAAATGGCATTTATAGACATAAATGATATAAGCGTTTCGAATTATTGAAGCAATTTCGTTAACTGTCAACCAATCCATTCCTATGTGAATCGATCGTTTCATTTCGTTTGTTGAGACTGTGAACGTTGACTTGGTGTAATATCATTATGTAACTCTGTCAATGACCGAATTATAAATTTCTGTATTTAATTTTCAACTAAACATTTTGTAAGTGCTAGTAGTAATAATTGTCTGCTAAAAGAAACTATCTTAAATGGTCAGTGCAGCCTTCGACCTGTTCAGCGTGAATGTGTGTGTGTAGAACATCAATAGCGTGTTATGATTATTAATCCATTTGTTTTCTTAAGCAAAATTCATTATTGAATCGATTAAACATGTTTTGCCTAAAAATTGTTATCAATGATATACATATTTATGTTCTTTTTTTTAATCCCCCATTATCATTGATTTCCATTTTGCTCCTCCTCCTCCTACTACTACTACTCCTCTCAATACATATAGATCCTGTCTGAACGTGGTGATTTTAAAGAGAGTGATAAAATATTTGCTGATCTAATAACACTTGCACCAGACTCTGGATTAGCTTATGCTCATCGTGGCCTATTACAATTAAAATGGAAACAAGATCGTGATGCAGCATTATGTTTCTTTATAGAAGGTATTCAAAAAGATCCTAAATGTGAATTAATTCATGAATTACTTGGTCAATTATCTGTAGAAAAAGGTCAATTCAGTGAAGCATTAAAACATTTCGATATGGCAATTAAACAAGCTAAAACACAAAATGATTTATCACATTTAATTGCATTACGTGAAGGTGTTAATGCACAATTAAAAGTATGTGAACAATATAAAATATCAATACCGGATGTTTTGTCAAGTATACAACATGAACAACAAAAATTCTTAATGGCTATGCAAGAGAAATTGTAAAGATAATTAAAATAAACAAACAAACAATAAAATTGACTTCCTGTCTTATGAGAAGTAGCAACAAGAAGTATGAGAGAGAAAAAAAACAGACTACTTACATCAGCAACTTTGTTATTATTTGGTTTGTTTTTCTTTTTTTATAAGGGCAACGGAACATTTGTGTTCCCATGTTGTTGTCTTTTTTTGTATAGAAAGAAAAATTAATGACAATCATTTATAGATCATTCCATCTTGATTAATTAATCTGTTTGTCCCTTCCTCTCTCTCCCTCTCTCTTGATCACATCGATACTCATCCATGTTTCAAATTTCCTTGATTTTTTCAATTAGGGACGTGTTCTGATTTAGTGCACATTTGTTTGAACATTTTTATACAGATATATAAATAGAGAGAGAAGGAGACATAATTCAAGGGTGGTAGAACTAGTTTACGAAAGCATAGAGAAATACATGATCATTTTTGAATAGGCTCAGTTATTAGGGTGTTAGTCATTCAACCATTAAGTATTAAATTTGAACTCACTATCTACTTAGATTTGTGTAATTGGGTAGTATTGCTAGCCGTCACAATTCGGGTGTAGCTGTGAAAGCCAATTACATTAGTCAGTTGGTAACAACGTAGAACTCCATACATACGTACATCTGTTCATGTTGCCATAACACATTAGCACAGAAATACAAATGTCGATTCAAATCCCATAGTGGTAGAGGTAATAAGAGTATAAGCAGTAATCGGAAAAAATAAGGGTTTGAACATGTTATTCAAAGAGTAATCCAGTGAAATAGATTTGGAAAGAGAAAAAAAGTGACATGAAGAATTCAGAAGATTAAAATTTGGGAAAACAAAAAGTGGGTACACCTGCGCCATTGCAAACGATTTTGAGCCATGTCACATTCAAGGTATGTAACCATCGGTTTCTATCATCTAGCGGATCCCAACCAGATAGTCTACGCCTACCAACATGGCTCAGTCTACTTGTCAGTGACTTCATGGATTTGTGCCATGTTTTGGTCTGGCCACCCCTAGCTTTCTTCCAACCTACGCCATTGAACATCGCACGTCTTGGAAGTCGGTGGTTGAGCATACGTAACACGTGTCCCAGCTATCTCAACTGATGACGTTTCATTACTTCAGTTGATTTGCCATCCTTACCTAGTACCCGTTTCCTAATAACTACATTACGTACTCTGTGATCCCAGGATATACGAGCAATATTTCAAAGACACCTATGATCGAATACTAGTAACTTACGGATATCCTCTACTATTACCAGCCATGTTTCACTGGCACAAAATAGGACGGAACGAACTACTGTGCAGTAAACCCGTCCTTTGATTGGTAGACGGATATCTCGCCTACGCCATAAATGACGCAAGTTGGCAAAAGCTAGTCGAGCCTTCTGTATTCGTGCTGAGATTTCGTCACACACTAAACCACAAGGGCTGATGAGACTTCCATGACAAGTGAAGCGGTGGACACGCTCAATTACTTCACTCCCTATCATTAGTTCGGGTGTCGAAGCAACCCAATCCTGAAGTAACATTTTGTATTTCGAGGGGAGAATCGCATCACGAACGTGCTTACATCGTTGCTTATAATAGTCAGAAGAGTATTTTGTTAGCGTCTTCACCAAACAGAACTATTTTCTAAGTCAAAAAGTTAATCTCCTGGAAATTTAGATGAGGAAATTGTTATCTCTAAAATCAGGTCACCGACAAAGTTAAACAAGAATGGAGTGAGTGGGCAACCATGACGAACACCATTTGAGGTAATCAATTGTGTTGACAGTTCACCATGAGCTCTCACTCGACCAGTTGTGTTCGAGTAGAGAGCCTGTATAAGGTTAATGTACTTCTTTGGTACTCCTTTCAGTGACAAACACTGCCATAGAACCTTACGATCGACAGAGTCGAATGCTGCTTTAAGTTCGAGAAATACCACTATTGTGGGATGTGTGTCTATGTTCTAGGACTTGACGTAGTGTGAATATCTTGTCTATACAACCACGTCCAGATCGAAAACCAGCCTGATTTTCTCTAGTCTGTTCTTCACGAGCTTTGATTAGGCGTCGAAGTATTATTGAAGCTAATATTTTAATTTATTTATTTGAACTATGGGGCACCAAATATATGCGCGCCACACAAAACAATGAGAATGGGGAGGGAAAAAACGTAAGGAGAGCAAATGGAAAAAAAAGAAGAGGAACAATAACGATCAGATTAGTATAATAATAATAATAATAATGGGGATAACGAAAAGGTACAACCAGTAGAAATCCTTCAGTTAAGGAAGAAACAACCACTTTTTATGAAGAAAGTAAAAGAAGGTTACAGCAGTATCGCCACTGGCTTCTATTCTGATCCATATCTGATAACGACTCTGGCCACTGTGTTGCACCATCTCTAGGACCCAAACCAGGGAGTCGTGAAGGACCAACACAAGCCAGTTCTTTGCAGCTTTCTTCCATACCCCGACACCATGTCATATACTGACCACCTCTCCGCTTTTCCCAACCAGTCTCAGAGTCGGCAAATAATGCACGACGTGAAATTCTCTGGGACGGCAGTTATAGGACATGACCAAGCCACGAAGTCAGTGTTTCAAGATAGTTGCTATAGTTGAATTATCGTCGCCGTGCCCGAACACACGATGCCGAACCTCTGCATTATTAACATGGTGTTGCCACTGGATATCAGCAATCCTTCGGAGACAAAGATGATCAAACACAGAGTCGTCTAACATCCTCAACTCGGAGAGGCCAAGTTTCACAGGCACAGAGCAAGACTGCTCTCACCGACACATCGTAGATCCCACATTTAACAGCCAGACTAACATCAGGAACGCGCCGAAGATGGCCCAGATCGGCATAAGCCGCTCTGGCTTTCACTATACGTGCATTAATCTCACCACTCACACCCCCACCAGCACTTATGCAGCTACCCAGATACACGAACTTCTCGACTACTTCTATCTGCTCACCATCCAGGGTAAGTACAGGATTAGAATCCTGCCAGTCTTGTAGAAGTACTTTGCACTTCGAAGGTGCAAAACACATACCATACCTACGGACATTGATTGCCAACTGATTAAGTGCGGATTGCATGCCTTGGGCATTATCGCACAGTAAGACAATATCATCCGCATACTCAAGGTCGAGAAGTCCTTCTCCAGGCAACGGGTCCACACCACCATTACTTGCATCCATCAGAGCTGTTTCCAGAATGTCATTGATGGCAAAGTTGAAGAGGAATGGTGATATTGGCAACCCTGTCTAACCCCACTGCTTGAGTGGAACCATGGAGAAAGGTGGTTGTATGCCCTCACTCTACCTGGGGTGTTTGTACATAGGGTCTTTAAGATGTTAATAAACTTCTCAGGCACACCCTTCTTCAATAGACAATCCCAGAGAACAGTCCTATCCAACGAATCGAAGGCAGCCCTGATGTCAAGAAACACTACGATTGTTGGCCTTTGAAAAGTATGGCGGTGTTCTAACATTTGGCGGAGGGTGAAGATATGATCAATACATCCTCGACCAGAACGAAACCCAGCCTGCTCCTCGCGAGTCAATCTTTCTCGGGTTTTGAACAACCTACGAATTATGACGGGAGCCAATAGCTTGGACGCAATCGAAAGTAGACTTATCCCCCGATAGTTGTTACAGGAATGACGTGAACACTTTTTAAAGATAGGGACAACTATCGACTCATTCCATGACGTTGTTACACTCTCTAGTTCCCAGACTTTTGTAAACAACGTCGTCAGTTTCTTAGCCAGGAAGTCACCACCATCTTTAAAAAGAAAGGGAAACACCTTACTGCTGTCACACCTCTCTACAGTCAGCAGTACGACTTTCCCCTTAGACCTTGAGTTACTGCTCTTAGTTTTACCGTTCTTCAATCGACCAGCCTGGCATGGTAGAACCTACAGAAACATATATTCCAATCAATATAGCTCGTTTGGGTCATCACGATATGCAAGCCCGACCATCACGTCAAGATAGCAGCTAGGGTCGGGCTGTTGCATAGATACTAATTGATAATCGGTTTTCAATGAAACTAAGTACACTATATTTACTTAACTAGTTTTACAGAAATCACTTGTATTGATATGTAATAATTTCTGATTAAATACCACAGAATTAACATTTAGAAGTCAGGCAGTAGATAACAAATAGAAACATGCACTTGGTAAACCAGTTGACTAAATTAAAAAGTATTTATATTTATTCAGTGATATTTTTTACAATATCGAAAGAAAATACTATCACTATGTAATTTACAAGTCAAATACACAACTTCAGGTGTTGTGATTGATCGGTGAAAAATTGTTCACATGTGAACACCCTCTTAATGGTGTACTTGTTAACACTAAAAAGTAAGAATTTACTGTTAAATAAATGCAAACAAATAAAAACTGCCTATGTATTTGTACGTGGAAACATAAGTTGATCAGTGGTGGTCGACAAAAAGATATGGACCGATGTTTTATGCTAGTTGAAACATTTGTCACTATACTATTTCTAAGAAACCGCTCTTCTTCATGACTTTCAAATCGATGCTCATTTTCACCACCTACGAATAACAATGTGAATTAGATTTTTTTCTTCTATCATGAATAATATCACTAAAATACCAAACATAATGTGAATTCTCTTGAAACCAATCGTTTTTATCAAAACTCCGAGATTTCTAATACCATAGTTAAATAAATTCCAGCAAACAATGAGAATTAAACAGTATCAGAGTGGGTTTCTGTGGATAATATAGTTATTTTAATAGTTGAGATCATGAGTCAATTGAAGTTAGACCACCATGGAAAACTTGGAAGCACTGGATGACCATTTCATCCTATTGTGATTCCTGCAGCACTGCCACGATCCCACCTCGTGAGATTCGAACTCAAGATCAATCAGTCTCGCATGCGAGCGCTTAACCAACTAGACTACTGAGCTGGTTGACATCCAACGGTGTTAATGTCTAACTTTAACGAATCCACAA